CACCAAGGTTGCCGGTTCGATTCCCACATGAGCCACTGAGCTGTGCCCTCCACAACTAGACTGAAACAACTACTTGACTTGGAGTTGATGGGTCCTGGAAAAACACATTGTTCCCCCCCAAAAAAAATTTAAATGGGTCAGCTGAGTGGCGCGTTGGTTAGTAGTTGGCTTGGGATGCCAGCTCTAAGCAGCAGGGCCCTGGTTCGAATACCACATGAGGGCCAGTGATGCTGCGCCCTCTACAGCTAAGGTGGTGAACAACAGCTTGACCTGGAGCTGGGCTGCCGTGAGTCGCCAGTGATGGCATAGGCTGCAGTTGGGCTGGCTGGCAATGGGCATGAGCTTTCGTGAGCTGCCGTGAGCTGCCGTCCAATGGCCAGCGAGCGACTGCCTCAGCCGGGAAGAGCGCAATGATAATACCAACATGGGCCAGTGAAGCAACGTCCTCGACAACTAGACTGAAGAACAAAAGGACAGCAACTTGTCTGTTCCCCTCCCTTCCCCGATTCCCCAATAAAATATTTACAAGAAAGAAAAGATCAATAAAATTGATAAACTTCTAACCAGTTAATTAGTGAATAAAAAAACAGAAAACAGAAAATAAATCTGACAAAATATGTGCAAGACCTATACACTGAAAAGTAGGAAATACTGCTAAGAGAAATTGAAGAAGACATCAATAAATGAAGAGAAATATCATCTTCATGAGTTAGGAAACTTAATATTGTTAAGATGTGAATTCTTGGACCAGCCGAGTGGCGCGTTGGTTAAGAGCTGGCTTGGGACGCCAGAGGGCTCCGGTTCGGATCCCACATATGAGGGCAGTGACACTGCCCTCTATAGCTAAGATGCTGAACAAGAGCTCAACCTGGAGCTGGGCTGCCATGAGTCACCAGCGATGGCATAGGCTGCAGCCCCTGCTGCAGTGGGTTGCCATGGGCTACCGTGTGTAGCCAGCAGCCAGCATGAGTGGCCAGCAGCCGCCGTGAGCGGCCGTCCAGAAGCTGGTGACTGATTGCCTCGCCCGGGAAGAGCGCAATGATGGTGCCAACTTGTGCCAGTGAAGCAACGTCCTCCACAGCTAGACTGAAGAACAAAACGACAGCAACTTGTCTGTTCCCCTTCCCCAATTCCCCAACGCTGTTCCCTCCCCCAATTCCCCAATAAAATCTTAAAAAAAAAAAAAAGATGTGAATTCTTCCCAAATTCATCTATAGTCAAAGCAATCCAAATAAAAATCCTGACAGGCATTATTTTTCAGTAATTGACAAACTGATTTTAAAAATTCACATGAAACACAAGGGGTCTAGAATACCTAAATCAAGTTTGGAAAAGAACAAAGTTGGAGAATTAACACTTGTTGATTTAAAGACTTATTATAAAGCTACAGTAATCAAAACAGTGTGGTACTGGCACAAGATAAACTGAAAAAAGGAACAGAATACAGAGTCCAGAAATAGGCCCACACATAAAGTCAATTGCTTTGTGACAAAGATGCAAAGGCAATTCAGTAGAGAAAGGCTAGTCTTTTTTTTAACAAATAGTGCTAGAACAATTGATATTCATATGTTAATAAAAGTGAACTTCAATCCCTACCTTCACCATAGACAACATTAACTCAAAATAGAATACAATTCAGCAATAAAGGAAATATTGATACATGCTTAGATGAATCTCAAAAGAATTATGCTGAACAAAGGATGCCAAACCAAAACAGAGAGTACATAGTGTAGGATTTCATTTATATAAAAATCTAGAACTTGCAAAATAATGTATGATTATGGAAAGCAGGTGAGGATTTACTGAGGATGGCAGGGGTTGGGGGGTGTAGAAAGGGATCACAAAGAGTCACAAAGAACCTTCTGCCTTTAATGGATGGCACTGTTCACTCTCTTGATTGTGATTATGGTTTCCTAGGTGTATACATATATCAAAACTAATCAAATTACATACTTTAAGTATGCGCAGTTTATTACATATAAATTATATCTCAAAGCTATTTTTGAAAAGCAGAGGGGTAATTATTGGGTGAGCCTGAAAGAGACAATCTCGGGTTTTAAGCCTGGGAAAAACTGAATTACAGGAGGCCGTAGGTATAATTTACCTCTGATCTTCCTCACAAGGTAGAGCTGACTGTGTATTTGAGGTGAACATGCAGAGCTATAGCTGTAATGGTGAACAAAGCATAGCATCAGAGAAAGGTAGTTGCCAGGAAAGGCAAGAATCCACAGGCATAGTTTTGGTGGAGAAATTCTCCTCTCAGACTCTTTTATTTATGGTAGTGACAATGCATAAGAAATCTACTGACTGTGAACTGGCATGGGGCACTATCCCAGGAACTGGGAATCTGCCATGTTCCAGCTAGTTTCTGAGGGAGGCACTGGATCCTTAACCTGTGTATCTGCAGCCTCTAGCCTTGTGCCTGGCACATAAGATATACCCAATTAACATATGCTAAATAAACATACAAATAAACTAATTCCATGATGGAAAGAAATTCTTTTTAATAAGTGAAAAGCTTATTGCTTTTTTCATTTAGCTTACTGGGGTGGAAGGAAATTAAGCCAATAATTCAGTTTCCTCAGTGGCTAACTATGGGTCCAAATAATGAGCACTGACTACACTTTGGAAAAGGAATATTTGGTAATTTCCAGATATGACAATTACCTACCAAAAGATTGCTGCTGCCAATTAAAATCATAGGTCCTAACCTGGCTATCTGAAATATTAAAAGCATCAAAACAAAATTCAATGGTGAATTCTGTCCTGTAGATACCAAGAACGCAATTCTTTCTTTTTCTTTTTGTCAGACTATCTTTGGAGTGTCTAATTAAGTGGGTGGGGGGGGTGTGCAAAATTTCAAATACACATTTATTTTGATATGAGTTAATGCAACATTTATTTTCCAAGTTTTAAAAAGTTTGATTTGTTTGGCTTGGATGGTGTCAATAGGTTAGAGAAACTATAGATTAAAAAAAAAGTCATGTGGGAATGACTGAAAAAAGTCTCACCCAAATCATCTATTTCCTTTTTAAAATATGTAGAATAACAGCATGTTCCTTAAGTAGGGAATATGCTGATTACTGATTGATTTTTAAAATATAATTTTCATTACCTTCTGTTTCCTTCCTTTACCCAAGAAAAAGTGTATTTGCTGAAATATATTTTTCCATTAGGTATAAATGAAAATTTAAGCAGAAGCAAAGTTTAAGATCGAATTCTTCGGCCTGGCACTTGCAGCCCTGTGTATCCTCACCTTTGTCCCATCCACTGGTGCTGGCACTCGGGGGCTTTGGTTGGTGTGCTCCTACAGGCGCCTGCCACTCTGCCTCCCAGGTGGCATCCCTTTCCTGGCTCAGCCCTATTTCCTGTCTTGCGCATCCAAATCCTACCACCTATGGGCAATGATGAAGACTGGAGAGCCTGAAACATTCCTAAAACTTGACCACGTGTTCTAGAATATGCATTTCCATTTGGTTGGAGGGTGTGTTTTCAAATATTTTTTTCTGCTGTTTCACTTCACTTTTCTCTCCTTAGGTTTTTACGTCTCCTGACTCATTTACTTTTCATCTTCCTCCCTCATATTTGATTTTCTTTCCCAGAGTCTTTCCCTGAGCTCTTAAAATTAGAAAAGGTATTCACAGGGACACTATGAAGCGTAGGAGAGTATCTGTTCAATATTCTGGTCTCCTAGACAGAGAATCTAAAAAGTTCCTAAACCTTGATCAAATGCTGATTTTACATTGGTTATAATTCTAAGGACAATTCCAAAGAGTCATTTGAGCCAGGTCACGACTATCTTTTTGGGTATAATAATCCAAATTTATAAGATAGTTTTTATAAACATAAAAATGATTATGAAGTAAATTTTAGTAAAAGATAACAATGTGGAGATCAGGGCCAACATAACTTTTGAAATTCCTGAAGTAATGCTGAAAGGAATTTCAGAGTGGCATAAACTTGCAAAGATGGCAAAAGACAGGCTGTTTACTACTCTAAGAACAGCTCCTAGGTTTACACCATCATTCTTTCCTCTTTTTTACTCACTTACAGCTTACAATTCAAGGTCAACCAAAAACATTTACAGAGCATTTACCAGGTACCAGGAACTGTGATAAGTGCTAAGAATATACTGGAAAGCAAAACAGAAAATCATTTCTGTCCCCATGGGGCTGAAGGCCAGTGGGAAGATAGAGACATGAAGCAAATATATAAATAACTATGTGATTGCAAATTGTGATAAATATTAAGAAGGATATAAAAGGGTATTATGTGAGAGAATAATAGTGAGATATAATAATTTACATTAAGTGCTGCTGGTCACAAAAGTCCTCGATTTGTAAATAACATTTAAGCTGAGACCTGAAGGTTGAAAAGTAAGAATTAACAAGGCCTTTCATTTTTCTTTTCTTCCACGTTTCCTCTTCTACCCTGAAATGTAGTCTCATGATTAAAGAAAGTTCTTCTGCAAGTGAAAAGAGTAACTTACTTCCAAGGAGAAGAAACGTATTCATCAGACTTCTAACAACTCCAAACCAGGTATTAGTCATCTGAGAGACTGAAGTAGCATGTTGTAATGTTTTCTGAGCACAATTATCTTTATTTTTTCATTTATCCTCTCTATTTTGTGGCTTTGCCTTACTCTCTTCTAGGCTGTCATGATTATTATACTCTTACAATTTAAGTAATAAATTTCTTTTATGAATCTTTTACTGTATGATGAATCAGCATGGATGGGATGATTGAAAGAAATATACTATTAAATTTTAGCAGAACAACCTGACACATAATCTAAAGTCCAATAAATAAATATGCACGTTAAAAATGTGAAACATGATCTGAAATTCTTCACGTTTCTGGGCCATAAAAACTCATATTAAGGGAGTTAAATTATGTGGATCACCATATCAAAAGTAGAAGGAACAATTCAATACTTTGGTCTTAACATTAAAATGAAAAGTTTATTTCACTTACGTTCTTTGATACTTTAATGTCTTTACCTGGTGTGGATTCATCTTCCAGGCATTCTGAAGAACTGTACTTTGCACGATGATACACGCTTTCTACAATAGAATAGATTTAGAAAAATTTTTTCTAACTAATGAGAAAATGAAAAGCCCTGATGCTTTCAGTGAAATTCTATCAACTCTGAATTATGGGGTAATACTAAAAGAGTATACCACTGGAGTCGTGGACAAGGTCTACACTGCCTATTTCCTGAAAAGTTGAGCAAAAAGCTCAAAATGACCTGACCAATTCTGTAAATGTTTAGATGACCAGTACCCAAATATAGCTACAAAAGTAATAGCAAATGTTAGGGAAGACTTCTGCAAAATATAAATTACCTTTTAAAAAATTAACCGAGTTATAATTAAATTATTTTTACTTAAATGGACATGTTATTTTTTGCATTCCAAGTTAATCCATATGTTATATTGTTGAATAATGATCTTTAAAGTATACTCATGAAGCATATACATTATTTTAATTTATATTATCAATGACTTAAATCTTACATTTAAGTTCTTTTTAACATTTTAGGCTATATGTTAAGAATACTTAAGAGGTGATAAATATTTTAACATTTTTCTTAAAACATTCTAAAACTTACTACTGTTTCTATAGAAGCTAGTAGGAAAAAATATTAAGGGAACTACCTTCTTTGCTTAAGTTCAGATCAACTACCTACTATTATGACAAGTTATTTATTTTTTTTTAGCTGAGACATCCTTTCACCTGTTGGCAGCTCAGCTCGGGCCAGGCATTGGACTGCTGTTGCTCAGAGCTCACACTCTTGAGGGAGCTCTTAACCAACTGAGCCAGTTTGCCAGCCCAATGACAGTTATTTTTAATGAAAACACAGTAAAAGGCACCCTGTGATGTGATGGTGTGGGAACATAATATAAGAGTAGTAGAGCCAAAACACAGATGATTTGGGTGTAGAAAATGTAGGTATCATGGACAATCACATTCTCCTTTGTCCTGTGGCACCTGTTCTCTGACACCAACAGCTAAGCTTGGGAAAGGATTCCTCTTAAATGTCCATGTAAGATCAAAGACTCAGGTCTGGGTTTTGGGGGAAATAACTAGATGGCCTGCTGTGGCGCTAGGCTAGCCTGGTCATCAGCAATGGGTCTGGTAGTGCTCACTAGAGATATAAATAGAAATTTGGGGAAAAGCTCAACTTAATATTACTGATTGAAAAGGGGAAAAAAAGGTAGTAAAGAAGGCTGTCCTAAACCACTTGACATTGACACATGAGCAGCTAGGAGTAATGTGAATATTTTTATGTGCAGAACCTATGGTGGTTGTCAATGAGAACACATAAGCCTATGTAACATATTTCATAGCTTGTTATGAGGGTCATGTGAGAGTAAAAACCATAAAATAGAATACATCTGTGTAAGCTATAATTACTCAAGAATGGCATATATATATATATATATATATATATATATATATATATATATGAATATTGTTATGCATCTACCCTTTTTAAAAAAGTATTCTTTTGAAGTCAAATGGGCTCATACCTTTTGGATTTTCAGTGCATTCACAAGTGGGCTGTTCCATTCGGTTGGTTTTTTTGTCCTGTAAGCAATAGAGAAACAACACAATAAACATATTTGTGCTGTGCTAGAAAACCTAGTCTTGTTTTTTAAGCAGGGTTCCAGAGTCAGCCTCTAGCTAACGACATAAACATGTGACAATTACTTCACATTGCTGGGCTCTTGCCTTAGCTGCCGAGTGACTATTAATGTCACTCCTAGCTTAAAATTGTATGATTCAAAAAAATTGTATGATTCAAGAATTCTACTAAAAGAAGATTTAAGAACATTAATCAATATATGAATTAGCTCAGTATTTTACAATGCCAAATTGGAGTTTAATTAATTCAATGGTAAAGAATTTTAGGGACCACCCTAACTAGAGCTCATAAATGTTCCTTATAAACAGAATCTTTCCCTCTCTCTTAAAATAAACAATAACTGCTAGAACACTTTTTTTTCAGTGACAGCAAGGAGTCTAGGAAAAAGAAGGAATCGAGAAAGAGAATTACCTCTATATATAGCACAATATCAATTTTTTTATTAAAAATACATGCCCACAAAACAATATATGTTTTAAAAGGACACATTCAAATAAAAGGACAAGCATGTTTCAATGATTGTTTATGTTAGGGAGAAGCGGAATGGGGCTAAAAGGAGACCAGTTGAAACAAAGGGAGAGGAGCCTTGCTCGGACCAATAATGATAGTGTTTCATCAACGAGAAGGTATGATTAACTAACTCAGTATTCCACACAAGAGGTCCAAAAATGGAAAATGAATCAATAGTGTTATTCAGTTTGGGTTTCTGAATTCCATACCTCTAAAATGAATCCAGGGTAGTGTTAGCAAACGAATGATTTCAAATCTACGAATGATCTAGCAGAGTGACTGTTAGGCAAAACTGCCACATGGAAGAGTTGTTTTTGGCATCCCTAGCTCCACTTTCAGGATGCCTTTTTCTTCCTCAGTGATACCGCCTCCTATTCCTTCTATAAATACTTCCTTCTAGACTACATCTCTGCAGAACTGATCACACCCTCAAATACTGCTGTGGACAACTTCTGCTTCATCCTATACATGTAAGTACACACATGTATGTCGGCATGCACACATCCCATTTCTGCCACCAGTACCGGGCTCCTAACTTTGTAATTTCATCATTTCAAGGACCCAGTGCTGAACTTCATTGTTAATTTCACCACAGTATACAATACTGGTCCATATCAGTTGATTTCCACTCCTGCAGGGAAAAGAATGTTACCAACAAGTGTGGAAAGAAGGCTAGAAACAAATGCCTCCTTCATAAATTTGCCAAAGCTTTTCCTACAGGATCCGAACAAAGTTATTCATAGAGGTATTTCTGCTCCCACAGGAAGTTGGAATCTGCTCTCTGCAGAGACTAGGGAACCCATATACTTTCTCTTAGGCAGGATCTCAGGGTTTAAGCACATATCATCATAACTTTTCAATGGTGTCAATACCTTTTCAACTGAGTTGTCAATGGTTTCACTGTGGCTATCTGCAGAAACATTTTCATTTTCTCTTACAGCTTTCTTTCCACCTTCCAGATATTCACCAATTTCTTCATTCTTGTCTTCTGAATCTTCATCATCTGAAAGTCTGTTATCCTGTAACAAAATTGATAATCAAGGAAGAGTTAGATTAAAAAA